GCATTGCTCCCAAGACTGAAATTTATTGCTTCATTACAGAGGAGTTTAATGAGCCTTCAAGTGGAGGAAAGCCTAAAAGAAGATTTCCAGACTTTGGGTAAATATCCAAATCAATCACTATTGTATGTGTAAGCTTTTGGCTTTTTAAACTAACTAAATGAATGTTTCCAATGATCGAAACAGGGGTCTCAGGAAGTCGGGTGGAAAAGGAAGAAAACATGAGAAAGATGCAATGAGGGCATCTTTGGACAGCAGGTATTTTATGGCTACTCACAGTTGAATCTAGTTTATAAAAAAAATGAATATATTTGAAAAAGTCTGATTTGTTTATGGGGACGTTGCTTTTGCCACATTGGAAGGTGAACAAGATTTTAATTTTGCAGTATTTATAGAAATCCTGTTTGGTTTTCTTCATTGTTGATTCCAAATCTTCCAAAGGTTTGCTTGCTCATTGCTCAAATAGCTGGTGTTTATTAACAATTATTAATTTTATAGAATGTGGCACATTTTCAGCATAAACACGTGTAAGTTTGTGTCTCTCTAATTACATTTAAACTTTTCTTTTATGACCAGGGGCTCAGCAGAGTTACTAGAGGAATCTGGAGGGAACCTGTCCCCTGCTGAATCAATGACCTCCATCCCCACCTGTATGCCTTTCTCCTGGTTTGGAGACAAAGACAGGGACCGAGACAGAGAGCCCTCTTCCTCCAGCAACAGCCTGGCATATGCTGCCAATGAAACTGGCAGCGAGCAAAGTCAAGATCGCAAGAATAAGGTATGAAGTTCCTGAAAATGTATGTAAAGAAGTAAATGTGGAATCTAGAGAAAATATTTGTATCGAGCACAGCCTTAATAGATTAACACTGTTTTATGGAATTTCACTTGAACTTGAAAGAGTGACCAGCTCTCAGTACTGATGGCTTGACTGTAGTCTTATCATTATTATATAAAACAGTGTTAGGCTGACTTCCTGTTGTGGGCTTGTTCTTCAGATACACTGTGCTTTCCAAAGGCTCTAATAAGTAGATCCACGAGTTTGCCATTAGAGAGACACATCAGTGAGGGATTTGGTTCCCTTTTCAGTAACTTTGGAAGTAGTGACACATCAGCTGCCCCCAGTGAAAAGTCTGATTTTCATTTAAGGCTGTGTGGTTGGATTATTCCCAGAATGCTCTTTAATGAGATCATGATCGCACCAAAAGGAGATTACTGGGAAAAAATTTGCTTTTGGTTCTATTGCTGTGTGCTTTATGGCATTTTTTCCTTTAAACAGACAAATCTCTCCTGGTCCTCTTTATTCAGTCGCTCGTTAGATTTGGTACAGTATGCACATTTTTGTTTCACCTTTGGTTTTAGATGACACAGTAGAGAAATACTAACAATCATAGCTCTGGATGCCTAAATTCTCACCTCAGCTGCATCCCATGTATAGTGCACAGTTTTATTTTGTGTTTTTTGTAGTGGGTATGTGGTACTGTTTCAGGAAACTTTTGTCTAATTTTCCTTCGTTATAGCTGAGAGAGCCTTCTGGCTTTTATTAAATGAAACGGAGACGCCAAAACTAGTTTCCAGGGACTGTTGCGCTGGCTAATCAGAAATCTACTCAGAGATTTGTGTGAAAATCCAGCACTCACTGCTACCTTGTAACTAACAGTCTTAAAATTTAACTGCATATGAACTTGCTCTTAGTTGGTGCAACAACCTGGAGGCCTGGATAAAAATTCCCTCTCTCTAAATTTAACCCAGAGTTGAGTCTGCATTATATCTAAGAATGATCCAAGCATCAAATTAATTAAAACATTACCCCATACCTGAATAATTGTGTGTTTGTGTTCTAGTGTCAGCTGTGGTAGTTCAGAAGTTGTCGATGTAGTTTTGGTGGTGGATTGGTGTTAGTCTAGCAGCTTCAGTACTTCTTACATAGTCAATCCTTCCACATGTTGAAGATCACAGTCAATCAATGCCTATAATCAATGACATGGACTGCTGCCATAGTAATAAGATTAAATCTTAATTTCAGTCTTAAGCGAGACAACCTAGCTTTTAACCCTCATACTTAATGCTGTTTGTTTGCCTCTCGTAAAGAACTGCTGAGTGGTGCTGTGTTACTCTAGTAAACAAGTTCCTTGTTTCCACTTGTTCCAGAGTTTTTCAGTCATAGATGATTCTAACCCTGCCAGTCCCAGTTCAGACATCTCTGGGTTAGTTGCTGAACCCAATCTGTCTGGGCGCTCACACACTTTAATCTTCTCTTCCAGCGAGGTGAGTGCTCTCCTTGTTGCACAGTCACAAAAGCCGTGTGGGACGCCTTGATGCTGCTGAAAGGGGACATTCTCAAGCATGCTCTTTGAGCTTCGCCCTCCTTTCATAGTACAGATTAAGTCATGAATGGAGAGGGAATATAAGAGAGCTGCATGTGTGCTTGTTAAATCTTTTTGTTTTGTGTTACAGTGAGTCTTGTGGCTTAGCTTTTTCTGTTAGCTGATGTTAATAGTTTGAACTTGTGCAACCAGTGCTTCGTTTGTTGTTTTTTGTTTTTTTACAAGCTTTGGCAGCACACAGAACCTTGTTGACTGCTCTGCTGCCTGTTGAGTGATGTTTCACTGTCTGTTTTTTCTGATGTCGTCAATTCTTTTCAGGTGTCTCAGGAAAACATAAAGACATTGACATGCATCAGAGTGTTGTTGGTACTTTGCTGTCTTTGCACGCTTTTGTTTTTCTCTCTGAGCTAGATTAGGAAATGCAAATCAACTCGTAGAACATGTCCGTTTGTTGGCTTTCCTCGGGTGTCTCGACCAGCTTATAATTCCTGGCAAAATTTTCTCACCTACACAAAGTTGCAATTTTAGCTTGCTGACATTTTTAGATTTGTTGCTCAACACCCATCACTATACTTTGCATTACACAAGGCAACACAAGCCCATGGCATTATTTAGTCGATGAACATGAACTATACATCTTTATTCTGTATAATGTATTTTCCCAGCATTTCGAGTCATAATCTTTAAAAAAAACAAAACACGTGGCCCAAAAAAAAAGGTGCAAGAAGCAACAGTATGAGGATTTTAATATTTGTTAATATCTGTTTCCTCTGCAGACTTTGGATGATGAACCAGCAGCCACAGGAAAAGAGTACCAGTGGCAGAACCGGCCAGTGTCTGATTGGACCAATCAACAGGTCTGTCACTGGTTGATGGGCATGAATATGGACCAGTACACACCCGAATTCACCGCTAAGGGAGTGGACGGCCAGCAGCTCTTACACTTGGACAGCGACAAATTAAAGGTAAAACACAAAATTCAAATACAGCACTTACAAATGAGTCAGTGTTGTAGATTGATCAAACAAAGTTTGTTATAGAAAAAAATCTTCAGTCAGGTCAGCCTGTGACTGCCACCTTGTGGCCAGATTTAGGTTTCACATTTCTAACGGGTGTGGGGTTAAAGTCATGTCACGAAGCGTATTAGTCAGACTGTGGTGTTTATAAGACTAAATATTTGTCTGATTTCACTGCTACATTTGCATTTCATATAACACAAGTTTGAAACTAAAATATGTTAAAAGTATATTAAAAAAAGTTGTTTCTTTGTAAAAGGGCAGCGTTAGAGCTGATTCAGACTTCTGCAGTGAATCTTTGTGGAGCCTACGATATAACCTGTGTAAGAGGCCAACATCGTGGACAGCATTTATGGGGGTGGGTGTGTGGCATAAATGCCTTGTGGTCATCACCTGGTGTTTTATATTCAATGGCAGCTCATAGAAACAAATAAAACTCCAGGACTTGTTTCCCTCCTGGGTCCTCACTCTTTGATGTGGTCAGGTTTTTGTTCCTCAAGCTTTCCCACTTTGTACATTCCCTCACATGCATCCTGGTGGTTTCAGCAAACCTTCCTTTAAACATTTGCTGGCATATAGTCCTTACATTGAGGTAATGATTGTTATTTACTCAGTGATAAATTCAAAAACTGCTGTGAAAAAGTAGTCCCTAGTAGCATAGGAGGGGTTTGCAGTGACAACACACGGACGGCATCAATTTCTCCATACATCCACAGTTAGCGCTGTCTCTCTACTAAACATGTCAGTTTGAAGATCCCAGGTTTTTTTTGTGATATTTTCTGACAGTTAACGTAATTAAATTGTGATGAAATAAATGGTTTGAAATGTCCTAATTTTGAAATGTTTCAGTAATGGTATGGAAAATGTGGTGGAATTATATTTACCCCAAGTCTGTGCTTGATTTATTGATTTATTTTTAATTTTCTTTTCTGTCAGGCACTTGGAGTGACGAGTCAGAGTGATCGCTCAACCATCAAGAAAAAGCTGAAGGACATGCGGAAGGCCCAAGAGAAGCTGGAAAAGCAGCGGGAGAAACGAGAGAAGGAGGTTCGACGCAGTGCAAAACTGCCCCTGTCCAGTGACTCCGTCTGCTGAGGCGTCACTTCGGCGATTATGCATTGCATAAAGTTCATCAACATCACAATCCGGAGAGAAATGTTTTGTTTTGTTTGTTTGTTTGTTTTTAAAATAACGTGACATTGTCCATGCCGGCAGCCACAGAACATATCCGTGCCAGGAGCAGCCCTGTGCTGTGATTTATGTTTATACTGTTTGTTTTCTCCAAAATGCATCATCAAAATCAAATTTTAACTCAAAGATGGCAAACGTCAAAACGTTTTCCAAAAAAGAGATCCTAGCCTTTTTACCACTAAAAAGTCAGAAGTGATAATTAAAGTCTGTATTGAGACATAATGTAGTTCCTGCAGATCATGCACACATTTACCTATCGAAGTCAAATGTATACTGATTTTTTTTCTTTTTTTGTTAAAGCATTTTATATTTTTTCTAAAATGATATGCCCGTTTCAGTGTTGAACGGTTAATGTACAGCTGGATAAAAGCACTATATTTGTCTTTTAAGCTTCAAGGGGCTACAAGGTTTTAAATGTATAAATGAGTTTTATACATGTGCCTATTAACTGCATATCTTCTTTTTTTTTTAGTTTTTACTTAAATATCATTGTTCATTTTATATTATCAAAAATTTTCTACTAAGTAGAATAGCTAGGCCATCATTTTTGCTGAATGGAAAAGCAAAAAGAAATCAAGCTGGGACAAGGTGAATGCTGCTCTGCTGTCCCCAAGTCTGTGTCGTTAGTGATGCTCCATGTAAATACAAACAGCGTGCAGGTCTGCTACACGTGCACCTCACTGGTCCATTAAACAGCTTGTGACAATGACTTGTGGGAGGCGGGATTTGAGGTCTAAACAGTAAAGAGTTCACCGCGAAACCGAAGCGCTTCCTTTCCTCTCGAGCATGACTCCACGTTGCGTATCGATTGAGACATTGGACTGCAACCGCAAAATCAGAGAAATGTTTCTTGGTGTATGCAACGTCAATAAACTAATTTTCACTTTATGTGGCCTGTGTGCTTTTATGTTGCTGCGCTTTCAAAAAGCAAAGCTTGTATGCACAACAGTCTCAGGGTTAGCTTCACAGACCTGAGTCAAAACCCACCCAAGTAACGAGGTGAATATTCGACTGATTGCTTAAGATGTTGCTACAGCTTTTATACACAGCTGCAGACTATTAAAGTCTGCTTTAACCAGATGTCTGTGATGTAGCTCATCTGGCACACAATTCACAGGTGAGTGTAAAGAAAGTGATGTTATTGTCATCGTTGGTTTGCTGTAGCTGAGGCAGCTTGCAAAAGTCGTATCCAGCACTAATTTCATTCGACTAAAAATAGAGGAGGAGGAGTGAGTCTTGAGAAAGTAAAGCCATTTTTCTCTTGGACTCAGTTTGTGTGAAAACTTGTTATGAGATCACTGTGTGCAAGTCCAGTTACATTCTGACCAATACTGTCAGAGCAATAACAAACGCCTCATCGTGGCAGCACATCAGTCAATTGGCCGGATGAGTTAAACATGTGACATAAGTCTCGATCCAGCAGACGTGTGGTCTAAAACTAAAAACAGGCAGTAGTCAGTGTTTGTAACTGTTTATTGAAACTTTTGCCCCCACGGCAATGATTTCATATCTGATGCCTTCAACAGTCAAACTGCTGGTGTTACAGTTTTAATTACATACTTGACAGAAATCGGTGATCACAAATAAACAAGTTTGTCTCACCTCGACTCTGCATGCACAAAGCTATTTTAACAAAAGTAATTATCTGGAAAATAACCTACTATACTGAACATGATCCACTCAGACAACTGCAGATAGTGTAACATGGAAAACAAGGACTTTTGTCAGTTTAGCTGAATGAGCCCAAATAATACAACCACAGCACTAAAATACTGTATTAAGTTTCCTTATAGGACACAGAAGAATCATGTGGAAAAGAGTTCAAGGTTGTATCTTCTTTTAAAGCATAACAGAAAACCACAAACACTGACCCAATAAACCACACCAGCTGCAACCCTCCCAATAAATACCCCCAACATTCTCAAACTAGCATGTAAAACAAGTGCAATACAACAATTTACAGACAGCAAATCAAACCTTTTTTCCATCACGTTACTTTAACCAATACCCTGTTAGAAATGCCCTAATAAATAAACAAAAGAAACACGAGAAATGCTTAGAAGACAGCAGCTTAACAAAAAGCAAAGCTTTTAATTTCACATCAGCTGTGCTTTTCTTTCAAAGTAACAGACTCCACAAAAACAGGGGAGAGAAACTCTACGCACAGATAAACTGTAACAGGAGAAACTAAAGTTCACCGTAATTAAACCAGACAAAGGAAAAGCAGCAAAGCAAACTAAACTTTTGCTGATACCTGTAAGGACAACCTCACATAAGAGCTTTAATACATTGTCCTCCGACCCCGATGGCATTGAACCCTGCAGACCGCTTGTTTTGCAGAGACCTCTGCTAATACAAACAATACAACATGGCTTTTAAGTCTTATTCTTAAAGCATCCCAAAAATTATACATGTCCTAATAAACGCATCAGGTGATCTTTAGCTCATCAGACAAACATGACACCTTTGCAAGCTTTGTCCACCAGAGAGCGCTGACAGCTGTGCAGTACCATCTTGTTCATCATTTAAAGAGAAAACATGAATGTATGTTTAAATTGTTGATTTCTCTGCACCTGCAAGTTTTTCATGTCGAATATAAATATAAAACATAAAAAACATACAGCTTGCATTTGTTGAAACCTGGTCCTGGTAGATAACAGTTAACATTTAAGATGAATGGGGAAAACCAAGAGCTGCTGCACTTTAAAGTACTAATCATAACAAAGCCATTGTTCCATGTGGATTATATGGCACTAAAACTTTGTTCTATTATTCTTTAAGCTTTGTTTGTAAATAACTGAAGGGTTTGATGTAATTACTGCCACACGCTCACACATTCGGTTACGTCTCTTGCGCACTTTCATTTACATTTGATCTACAAGCTACGAAATGTCGTCATGTCCTTTGGCTCTTTGCTCGGGACGCACCAGTCGTCTGCCTCGTGGATGGTGTTGTAGTGTTTCCAGGCTGACTTGTTGTACACCGGGAGCCTCTCGATGGACTCTGTGGATAGTGCCTAAAATGTGATTGAAGGGGAAAGAAAAAAAAGATACTTTAGGAATGTGCTCTTCTCTCTATAAGAGGCACTAATGCTGCTTCTGTGAAACTGGGTTACCCGTATGTAGATCACAGCATCGATTCCATAACCCTCCATAGAATACAACTTGAGGTCTCCTTGAAAGTAGCGAGCGTACAGTCGTGAGATGGGCAGGCCATACCCATAACCAGCCTAAAGAGAAATGAAGCAGAGTTCATCCAGATAAAGTCTGAAACAACAGAGCAGCTCCATGACAAAGACAGCATTCACTGGAACAAAGTGACTGGCTGTGGATTTTCTCTGGAACATAGGGGAAAATTGCAGCAGTGCTTTTTGTTTTGATAGGTGGGACGTGTGAAAGCCCTGCAAAAGCCAAGTATGTGTGTCGAAAAGAAACTCTAGAACTTCAGGGCGTATACGGGATAGCTGGATACCTACCCCAGCTGTGGAGACGCTGGTACAGCTGTTTCCATTTTCAAACACTCACTGATTGATTTCTCTTTGACACTGATTCAGTCACTAGTGATGATAAATTAGGAGTATTCACCAGAGGAGCAGCACGAGATCCGTCGATGCTGGGTCTCGGAGCAGTCGAGTAAGTGTAGGTGAACAGCCTGTCGATTTTACGCAGTGGCACACCTCCTCCACGGTCGCTCACCTCACAAAGCAAACGGCATGAATAAACACAAGCTCCTCCAAAACGTACACAAAAACCTGAAAGAGTTTTCAATGCCAAGTTTGCTGCTTTAACCTTTACTGTACAGGAGTTTATCTGCACATTTACCTTGACTGTGAGATCTTCAGTTCCCAGAGCAACCTGTGTATGGATAGAAGGGTACTCCATGGCATCTCCGTATAACTCCATGGTGGCCCTCATGGCGTTCTGTGACAAGTGTTTATCCAAATGTTTAACATTGGAAAAGAGATATTTTGAAATATAAAATGCTGACATATATGAAGACAGGCTTTTAAAAAGCACCTTATAGAGTTCAAACACCATGTGATACAGATGAGATGGAACATAGACCATGGTGACAGGTTTCCCCTTCTCTTTGGCTATCAGGACAAACAGATGATTGGAAAACATTTGATTACGTTACAATTCATTCATTAACCAGTTCAAAGAGCGGCATCATTGAAACTGTTTGTGTTGTTTCTTCTAACTACATAAATTACCATTGAATTCCTCCAGGACCAGCTCAGGAGAGTTCATGTAATACCGATCACAAAGGTTTCTTGCATTTTCGTAGGCATCTACAAGGAAGTGGTTTGTTTTTGTTACATGGCGCTTGCAAACTGGAAGAACAGCATAGATTAACACTTTTCTCCGGCATGTTTCTATAAATATAAGAAAGTCTCACCTCTGATAACCTCGCTGACCCGACAGTGTGGATCAATACTGCCAATCTGTTTGGGGTGTGCAGGATTCACCTTCCCTCCAAAGAGCAGAGCTACAGAAAAAAAAAACACACAACATGAACATTGTGAAGTCTTAATACTTACTGATATTTGTCTCTGTAAGTTCAGGGTTTCATGTGAGACCTTTTGATTAGAGCTAAAACAAAACTGATGAGCAGTACCATCCTGAGGGGACCTGAGCCGTAACGAGTTCTTCCAGTGTCACCATATGCAGGAAATTCTAATAAAAACTTTGGTTGAAATTCCATCCACTCATTGTTTATCTGGGTTCAGGTCACAGAGTCCACCCTAAGCAGATATGCCCAGACCTCCCTCTACCCATCCACCTCCTCCAATTTATCCAGGGGGACATTGAGGTGTTCCTAAGCCAGAAGAGAGCCATAAACTCTCCAGCGTGTGATAGGTCTCTTCCAGGGCCTTCTGCTGGTAGGATATACCTGAAACACCTCATGCATTGATTAGGTATCCTGGTCAGATGCCTGAACCACTTGAACTGGCTCCTTTAGATGTGGAAAAGTGGAAACTCTACTCTGAGCCCCTTCTGAATGACTCACAATATTTAGCGATGTCCAAAATAAGCCATATTTTATTTATCCATCTACAATGTTTTTATAGCGTAGCTTTACGCAAGTGAGCTTGTTTTGGTCTTTGCTGTCTGTAAATAAAACACAAGTCATTTAGTTTTCGTGCAACTGCCAGAAAATGACACTGGGTGGGGTCTGTTGATTCCTGGTTTACTGTAGCAGGAGTTTTAAAACGACACAGACAGCCTGAAACCTCAGATATCTTCTCAGCACAGAAGTCTGGCTCCTGAACCCAAGGGCTTTCATTTCCAAACAAGTACAGCTCAGCAATCACATTACAAAAAATACAACATGTGCTCACTGTGCTGGTTGAGCAGCATCCTGATGGAAATCCTGCTCATGTAGAAGCGATCCAGAAAATACTGAACATTCTGGCTGACGATGGGATCTGTGCCGTACGCCTCCTTGTACTCCACAACGCCCTGAGCCATGGTGGGAATGACATCATTGTGGCGATTTCTGATATTTATCACAGCATCTGTGAAACTAATTGAAGACATAAAAGTTAAGGAAATGCGTGAAAAGAATCTGCAGGAATAGATGAGCTGTTGCGGTGGTTAAAAGAGGAAACCTACTCATATGTGACTTTCTCGTCGTCTGCATTTTTGTCTTTGAACTCGAGAATCTCCTGAAGACTCTGCATGTACCTACATGGGGGAAAAATTATCTTTTTGTATTTCACAGACTGGCAAGAGTTAAATACTGTTAATTCGTTAAAATTAAGTGGGAAAAAAGGAGAACCTGCATACCAGCTCTGGACCAATCGGACTGATGGCGTCCTCAATAAGTTGTCTGGCAGCAAGTTAATTTCCTTCATGATGTTGGCCAGCCTCACAGGTAACTCCTGTCTGAGGAAGTTGAAGGATGTTTTCACACATGCATTTTCTGAACCTGAGAGAGAAAGAAAAGGCACATTTTTTAATAATTTTGCTTGAAAAATGGGAAACAGGTGGAGCAAGCTACTGAACATGTGCAAAGATACATATAAATACAAATATACAAGGCAAAAAATGTACTGGGAAACTGGAATACTTGGGACTGTCGGCCATTTGGTTTTGGAACTGAAGAAGCCTCTCCGATGTGAGGTGAAACGTCTTCAAGATACTTATAGAAGTCCAGTCACTTTCTTTCCCAGCTCCTTAAACTACCATGAACAGGATGACTGAGAACCTACAAAGACATCTGCTGCAGATAGTTTTTAGGCCTGGCACTTCTTTTTTGCGCCCTACTTGTCCAGTTTCCAGTTTAAACAAATGCAAGGATTACTATGAACACTAATAAAGTCTGGTCCTTAGAAGCATTACTCAAATAAATCAACACTTTTGCACAATCCTGTAAATGTAACATGATAAAAGTTTTTCCATGTCACCCACTTCTAGTTAGCATCAAGGCTGGATTACATATCAGATGCAAAACTACCCCCAAACCATTCAGGCTCCATAACCTCTTATAACTGTAAACCTTCCATAGTTTCAGCAAACTGGACCATTTTCAGTATGAAATAGAGAAAATCAACCAATCAATCAAGGGCCTAACATTCACTCTTACAGTCAAGTCTTCAAGCTTGACTTACACAGACAGGGCATATATCCCATTAGTCATGTGTTAAGAGATACTTTAAAATCCCTTCCTGTTTAATACGAGGAAGTGTAATAAGGGGAGGCTAGATGATTTTAAGAGCATCATTCGTCTTGTGAAATACATCCTTGTGGTATCAACTACCTTTACATCACAGAAGGAAAAGCCTGTGTTAGGACCGTTTGTGTGGCAGTTATCCTCGGTTTAACTTTACAGTAGTTTGTTTTTTCTATTTCCATATAGTTTCCTGGATGTGTATGAATCATACACGTTGTATGATGATTCTCCTTATTTTAGGGCAGAGTATCGTTAACGATGTAGTAAAGCATTATGTTAGTAAATATCTACTAGTCTTGCAGCTTCTTACCAAAATCCAGAAACTGCTTCATTGATAGAGGGGATGGTGAGAATTTGGAATAGTAGTCGATGTCCTTCCCTATGGACACGCTGCTCCTCAGAAACCTTAAAATCCTCATGCTGGCACGTTTTGTATTGCCTCACTTCCAGCTGTGACTGCTGCTTAATAAATAAATAAACAAACGGTACTCTTTTTTTAGGTTTAATTGCAATTAGCATCCACAGCAACAGAGCCTAGCGAGGGCTGCAGCTTGGTTTGCTAATCTGTGTTGACACAAGCTTGTTAGCTAACCTTAACAGCCTGCCAACACACAAGTAATTAATGATTTGTTTTTTCGTAATTTGGTGCAGTTTCAGCCTCCATTCTCAGAGCTTCGGCACTGTTTTCCTAAATCGCCTTTTACTTCAGCTTCTCGTGGTCGGATGCCTGGAAGACGTAGAAAATTGTCACCGTGGAAAGGAGAGTGTGCGGCCAGTAAATTCAAAGACGTCACAGCGACATCAAGATAAGCTACCTCTTCAAGCAAACTTTATTGACCAAAATTTGGTGTAACGTTATAGCTAAACGTTACACAGCCAAACTGTTAACGTTGAAAAACAATCGAGGAGTTTTTCAGAAGAATCCCGTGAAGTTTGTGAACTGGCTTCTTGTGGTTTTGAAGCAATTTTTTGAGTTAAACTAACATAGGCGTGTGCAACAAAATAGAACAATATTCGTTTTGCTCTAGAAAACCGTTCTAATAACGCGCCTTCTTGTTACTTAGAATTATTTGTATCTTAACTTTATAGAATAATGTTCATTTTATGTAACTTTCGATTTTGGTGGGAAGCAGCTCGCACTGCGTACAAACGTAAAACCTCTTGTTGTTAATTTGGTCTTTGATAACGTGAGCGTCATAATCTCCGACGTATGTCTGCTAGGTGACAAGCCAAACCAATCAAAGTTTGAGTTGTCTGAAATTATAATTCTAATTGGACGTTAGACCTGCCAATATTACTAAGAAAGGCGGGTTGTACTCCGCTAGACAAAATACAGGGCAAATAAACAGCTTGTTTTTCAGGCCAACTGCCGTCATTTCCTTTAGTTGACTACTGAACTGCCTACTTGAAAAAGTGTCGAGGAAGCTGGCCACGTTTTTAAGAAGGATATGTTGCCAGTTTTCTATCGTTGTTACGACTAAAGTGACATTAAGAAGGGTGTAGTCAACTTTATTAGACGCCAACGTCTAGAAAGCCGTCGTAAAAGAGAAGCCGATTCTTCGGTAAGTTCCCCCTGGTCTGTGTGTTTGTGACCCGCCAAAAGCTAAATGATTCAGCGAGGAAGTAACCATTTTGTGCGTTCGTCGATTTTAATAATGTTATTTTTTTTATCTTTAAGGAGAAAATGAGCGGCGCTTTCACCTTTGGGCAGCCCTCTTCGGGCTTTACTTTCGGAACGCAGAAAACCACAGCCTCGGCCCCGGCCCCGGCCCCTACCACCGGCTTTGGACTGACAACGTCCACTCCTGCAGCCACCGGAGGGGGCTTCACTTTCGGCTCATCCATCCAGACCCAGAGCACTACCAACCCCACCGGTGGTTTCAGCTTTGGCACCCCAGCAAAGTCCACAGCAGCCGGCGGGGGTTTCTCTTTTGGGGCACCCACCACAACCTTTGGAATGAATGCAGCTCCTCCAACCACAACAGCAGCTTCAGGGTTGACTTTGGGCTCCACGGCGACTCAAGCAGCAGGGTCGGGGTTCACTCTGGGTGGAGTTTTGTCTGCGCAGACCACCGCTACTGCACCTGCAGGAGGGGGCTTCACCTTTGGAGCTGCATCTCAGGCTCAAACCCAGCCTGTAGCAACAGCCGCACCAGCAGCCTCCACAGCACCAAGTGGCCTCTCATTTGGAGGGTTCAGCTTCGGAGCTACCAAGGTCCAGGTGACATCAGCGGCAGCCTCCACCACCACAACCAACACCAGCACCACAGGTGGAGGCTTCAGCTTCGGCACCAGTGCTCCCTCCAGCCTTGCCCAGCCAACCTCCACCGCCGCTGCTGCTGCTGCTGCTGCTGCTGCTGCCGCCGCCGCTGCCGCAACAGGACAGGGTGGAGGGTTTACCTTTGGGATTAAACCGTCATCAACCCCAGCTCCTCCTGCATCCACCCAGGCCCCACCATCTTTCGGGCCTTCTCTCTTCGCTCAGCCTGTCACAACAGCTGCTGCCACAGCTGCAGGTCCAGGCTTCGCTTTCAATGCCGCTTCAGCAGCAAGCACATCCACAGCAACAACCACAGCTACTGGTGGAGGTTTGACTTTTATGATCAAACCTCTGGTTCCAGCAACCACCACATCTGCCCCCCCCTCTACCGCTACAGCTGCAGCCTCCACGACAGGTACTGTTACAGGCTTCTTGCTGGGAGCCAAAACTTCATCGATCACAAGCACCACGACAGCTGCTTCAGCCACAACCACTGCCAGCACCACCAGCACAGCTCCTCCAGTGATGACCTATGCCCAGCTAGAGGGGCTCATTAACAAGTGGAGTCTTGAGCTGGAGGACCAGGAGAGACATTTCTTACAGCAGGCAACTCAGGTGAATGCCTGGGACCGCATGCTGGTGGAGAACGGAGAGAAGATCACATCCCTCCACAAGGAGATGGAGAAAGTGAAGCTGGATCAGAGGAGGCTGAACCAGGAGCTGGATTTCATCCTGTCCCAACAGAAGGAGCTGGAAGATTTGCTCTGCCCCCTCGAGGAGTCGGTAAAAGAGCAAAGTGGAACCATCTACATGCAGAACGCCGACGAGGAGCGTGAAAGAACATACAAGCTCGCTGAGAACGTGGACGCACAGCTGAAGAGGATGTCGCAGGACCTGAAGGAGATCATCGAGCACCTGAACACGTCCAGCGGCCCGGCTGACACTAGTGATCCGGTAAGATGACGCCTCCAGTTTTTGATAATCGATAAGATTAACAAAGATTTGCTCACGTAATTCATGTCTAATTTCCTTTTTTTCATCATCAGCTGCAGCAGATCTGTAAGATCCTCAACGCCCACATGGATTCACTTCAGTGGATCGATCAGAACTCTGTTCTGCTGCAGAGAAAGGTCGAGGAAGTGTCCAAACTTTGCGACACCCAACGAAAGGAGCAGGAGAAAACCTTCCGGTTAACATTCGACTGATCTGCAGTAAATACTTTTACTTGTGTGCTTACATTTTTACTCTGTAATCAGAGGTGTCATCAGGGCTTTAGATGGTGTAGATCCAACCTTCATTACTGTTATTTTGAGTTTTCTTGGTTGCATAAAGATTGATATTTTCAGTGCATTTGCCTTTAGAGTAGTGAAAAGGATCCTCTCCTTCTATGTCAATTGTTATGTTTGTTCTAAAAAGTCTGATTAAATAAACCTTTGGAATGGAAGTCTTTTTTTTGTTTTGTTTTGTTTTTTTAATTATCGGGCATTAAATACAAAATTATTTTCTGTGTCAGAGGGAGTGCTTTGTTCACATATCCGGTGCCCCTGTAATAGCTGAATTACAGCTAAGCGTATATATTTTGATAAGAGAGGTGTGGATGGAATTGATTTGTTCTATTTACAGATTTAAGTTTGTGCAGTAAACAAAAAAACAAACTGTTGATGGACAAATAAGGCAAACATGAACTTCTACCATGCCACCTTCTGGTGCAAACAAGCCATATCTCTTATTACTAAAGATAACTGTTTTTCAAAGGTTGTCAACATGGCACGTTGAACAGGCCACCCAATACTTGGACTGAAATGGATGCAGGATTTGTTGCTTTTTATTTTGTTAGACTGGCAGCTGAAAATTTTTGCATCAGTAATCATTTCCTGCAGGAACCATTTGGTGATACTCAAAGCGCTTCCATCACAAGGATCAGGGTCTAAATTAAGTTTCTGGGACTTCATTAAAGTGCTATTTCCCGATTTTGGCACTTGTTGGTAAGTCGGCTGGCTTAGCCTCTAACGCAGGGTGTCAAACTCATTTTGGTTCATGGGCCAAATACAGCTTAAACTGGCATGTAGGCCAATCCAGTAGCACCACTATATAACTTTAATTTACTTTATACTTTATTTTCCCTGAAGAAGAAACTTGTTCTGGATCCCAAACAAGAAAAAAAGTTTTTTTATAACTATAATAAAAACTTTCAAGAAATTATTACTAGCTGAAAAGTAAAAAATTACTGTAAATCTTAGTTTTAGCATCGGTTATTACAATATTACAACTGATGAGACTTTGATGATTATCGAGACTCTGAATGCCTTCAAGACTGAAAGTCAACTGCTTTCAAAGATTTCTGTTTTTAAGGTATTACCTGTACTGATTTTCCTAAATCTTGTCTCTGACATATGCAAATTAAAAACACCCAAACTAATAAAAACTAAAGACTTTCAAACAATGACAGCTAAACTGAAGCAAGGAAACCCACCGTGGAATCAAACCAAAATGAAACTGAATTTTAAAAACAAAAAAAATCAATGAAATTTATTTTTAAAAAGCAAGTTAAAAAAAAAAGCTTTCTATCAATTTCTACTCCTGTGTAGTGAAGCTGGGCTCACCACAATAAGAGCCCCAAAACACATTTCATTGAAAATCTGGAGTAACTAGTGATTTCACTGGACTTTTTACACTTTGCAAAGCCATACATTTCTGATGATCATAGCCAAGCTAAGATTTCAGTTTTCATTTGCTGGTTATTTTTTAAAAATGCAGACAAATTGTGCTGGAAGCCTCTTAACTCTTCAGTTTACAGCTTTTATTAAACTGTTAGCAGTCGGACGTACCGCCCACGGGACATTGGATGGTTTAGGGGACTAATAGGACTGCTAAGGGGTTAAGAGGAAGTGATTCTGCCAGTAGAGTCCAAGTTTTAGTGCCATAAATAGTTGTTTGTTATGTTTTATGTAATTACTCATTTACATTCTGCCTGACTGGGCTGGAAGAGTCGGGCAGAATGGGTCTGGAAGTTGAAGACAAATAGTTTGTTACAGCTGAATGTGAAATAACTTTATAAAGATAACTGACTTCAGTCCTGCTTTCATGTCAGATATGTTCATGACAAGAAAATTCAACAGGAAAAGATTTTCTTTAAGCATTTTTATTTTACTTGGCAAAAACTTTTTTTTAAAGGCATTTTGAATTAAAGCTTTTCACTTGATTTTCACCGTCTTCGCTTTGAATTCCCCACAGAGACCAAAAAGTGAGGCTCGTAGTACAGTAGATGCAGTTCATATGTGAGAACCAAGGTGAGCTAATGTGAGCAGAGAGGAAAAATGGAGCTGCTCTCACATTAGACTCGCACACAGTTATTTTCAAATATCTATTGTTTGTGACAAGACAATGTACCTAAATGTCATTTCAAAGAAGAAAAAACAGAAAATTTACATACTTACCGTTCACAGAAAAAAAACCTCATTTACATTCATATTACAGTGACTGGCTGTACCTTCTGTGAACAGACCTCAGGCCTCCAGTGAGACAGTACAACTT